AAAGAATAGAATAGAATAGAATAGAATAGAACAGACGGATAGATCTTTATTGCAGAGGGAAAATTGCAGCATTGCAGCAGTAGGAAAAGAAACTGTGAACATCACAAATACATTGTAAACATCTGACAAAAAAGGCACAATAAATGACATAAATCCCTTAAAATTCCAGACTTATTACATACTAAAGCTTACTATTCAGTAACTACAGGGACTTCAATGCAAACTAGTTGAGCTATTCTCAGGTTATAGAAGTGTGCAATAAAACTTTGGGCCCTGCCCATTTAAGGGGTTAAACAAACAAAGACACAGGGCTACTGTAACAGGCAGCCACCTCAAGCATCATCAAAAGTGTAAAATAGAAATGAATTTTAAGCTATTGTCACTAAATCCTGTAAGAACAGTAATTAAAAAATACTGTAGTTATTGTGTATTGTAATAAGCTCTAACTAGACTGTAAAAACTTGTTTGTGAGTGATCTATTAGTGTCTAGTGAGGATGTTTTTCCTAAAGATCAATTGAAACTTCCTAGTAAAGGAGTCAGTTTATTGGAGACACATACCCTCAGGTAACCTATCTTAAGTGAAATGTCAATTTTCATTTCCAGCATCAATTTTGCATCAAATCAGGAGTGAAAGTGCGCAGTGAGGGTCAGTGAACAGTCAGAGGCTTCTTCTCTCTCTCTCTCTCTCTCTCTCTCTCTCTCTCTCTCTGTGTGTGTGTGTGTGTATTAATGTGTGTGTGTGTGTTTGCGTGCGCTGAGTAAATCTGGCTCCCATACCAAGCCAAGGAAGCTCTGACGGGGACATGAGTGACACCTGAGCAGAGGACCTAAAAGGACATCAATAATGAGCGGTGTAGGAGTGTGTCTCGGGGGATGACACGGCCTGCGTCTGCGCCACTCAGCCTAATAAGGGTTTAAAAGCCACAACTGTCCACACAGCCCACGCCAGCCCACCTCCCATCTCCCTTTTCCAACGGGTTGCCTGATGCCTTGTGACAGGCCGAGGCCCAGCCACAGGACGCCAGGGCAGCCTGCATTTGCAGCCATGGCAAACAATACAGCCACGTTATTAACGAGATGATTAGCGGAGCTGGCAGGAATTGGGCACTGTAAAGGGCGATGAATATTTTTGAAAATAAAATTTTAGGTCTGAGTTTGATTTATTGATATGAATTTGACTATGGCATCTGGCAAACAACTTATAAATAACTTAAGGGCCATCTTAAATGCATTGCCATGAAATTTTTATTGACACTGTAATATAAGCCACTACCTGCCATGAATCACAAATAACCTTGAGCTCTCTCTCTCTCTCTCTCTCTCTCTCTCTCTGTCCTGTCAGTACTGTGTTTACCCTGCACAGCCCCTCTCTCATGCTCACAGAAAGCAATCGCTTCTGACTGGGGCAGACTTCTCTGTCCCCATATCCAGCCTGGCTATAATTTTGTTGTCATTCGGTGTGCGGCGATCCCATCATTGATGTGACAGAGTGGGCATTAGGTAAAGTCCCTGAGCTGGTACTCACTTACAGCAGCTTTCTCTCTCTGCCACTGACAGTGATGAGATTAGACCCAGGTGGCAAACATGCTCCTCCACTACAAGATTGGAAACCAAACCATCTGATTTAGTTTTACCCCAACATCCTTAAGTAACTCATCAAACTTGATTGTATCCATTGGTAAAAAAAATGAAGTGTTTGACCTCTTTAACATTGTGTTGGTAACATTATTGGGTGAAGTGGCTCGTGAAAGCCCACTGGCAGCCAGCCACAGGCAGATGTGGAGAGGTTTAACGGACATGTCGTGCTTCTGTGAAGCTGAAGAGGGGATCTGACGTTTAGCTTGTTCATATAGCAGGTCACTGGCATCTTACGACTGATCGATGCCAACCCGATGGCTCTGGGAGGTGAACCAAAAGCAAACACCTCCCAACCTGAGGTCACTTATTCAAGCTGTTCACACTGGTGACACATTAGAGGTTCTTTGAATATCACTGGAAAACTGGGGTCCTGTTTATTATCATTATTATTGCTCGAGTTGGATGTATTGGCACTGCGGTTATCAGCTTTGGACCTTGTTATAATGCAGCACTTACAGTATAATAGCCACCATAGTGAGTACATTGTCATTATACAACTTTATTAAATTACTTTGGAAGTGATTCATCAGTGACCGTGCACACTGCAGTGTCTACACTATTATTTACCAATTTTATTGAAGTGCATTTGTTTTGGAAATAATTCATCAGCTGATTCTTGTGGCTGCAAATGATATAAATTAAGTTTCGACCAACACTCCCATCACAGAACGCATAATGAATACTTGCATTGCAAACATATAATTAAAAGCACAATACAATCATTCAAACACATTAGAGTAATGTGCATGTGACATGGAAACACAACACCTGTTTGCGTGGGTCAGTGGCGTGTGTTTATGCCCACCTGAGGATGGAAAAGCTCTCTATTCAGCACAATGACCCCCTGAGGGAGCGCTAGCCCTGCTGCCATTGATAATCACCACGGGCCCCTCTGCGGTTATGGCCACTGGCTGAGCTAATAAGTGCAAAGTACGGGGGGCTGATGCACAACAAAAGGAGGGGAGAGAAATAATAAGTTGGGGGGTGCAAACTCTTAAGGCAGACATATGCACTGGTGACTCAACAATAAAACCTTCAGTGAAGCTGAGCCCCGAAGTCTAGTTAAAGATTATTAAAGAAGAGGGGAGAGAGAGAGAGAGAGAGAGAGAGAGAGAGAGAGAGAGAGAGAGAGAGAGAGGGAGGGAGAGAGGGAGGGGGGGGGTAGGGGGGGTAAGGAGGGGAATAATGAGGAAAAGAAGATAGCCACTCGTTGAGCTGGTTAGGTGCAGGCAAGCCTGTGCTTGCTCGTTTCTGGAGAATAGATTGCTGGACCCAGTCGCCCTGTTCTAATGACCCTTCTTGTTAGCCTCAGAGATGTAAAGCCTCTTCATTAGAGCTGCAGCCCGCTCACCTCTGCCTGCAGATCCACTCTCAGGCTCCGGATCGGGTTTGCACCCATAAACGCACGGATTCTGGGTTCAAACTCAGGGCTATAAACCATGGGGACGATATCTACTCTACACTGAAATTTTGTTGATGCCATGAATTTTATGTAACATTATAATGTTACATGTGCAACATGTCACTTTGTGTTTTGCAATAAACAGGAGCAGTCTGTGTTTTTGCCACACAGAATGTGATATAAAGGTGGAAGAAGATGGAGCGGAGAGTAACGTGATGCTCGAAATAGAAAGAGAATAAGCGCTGGACACTCGTGACATGAGCAGCATTAATGAGAGGGTTTGCAGTCGTGGTCAGGCAGGGGGATATAATCTGAAGGGAATAAAAGCTTTCGACTTAGTGAGGGGGGTACTGTGCCATACAGGCAACCCTGCGAAGAGTCCTGCTGGAAGTGGCAATGAACCGGGGCCACTCATTAACTAAAACTTTCCAAACAGCGCGCGGAATGTTTGGCTACTCGGCTTGATACGAAGATCACTAAAATATTCGGGGGATTTTTTTTTAAATAAAGATATTAAAACTCATGATTGTTTTTCTTTTTTCGTTAGCACGAGTTAGCCCGGTGTCTGTAATAAGGCTGTCGCACGAAATGTTCTGATAATTATTTACTGAACGTTATTTGGCGGCATTATTGGATCATTAGAGTTTATAAACTCGGGACAGCGCTTAAGCCAGCACTGGTCTGTGGTCAGCCATCAGGAAGCCATCAGCACCCACTCTTTGGCCAACAGCAGACTGAATCGCTCATCAGAGATAAAGAGATTCGGACAGTGAAGGAGATCTAGTCCAAAACCCCCCCCCCAAAAAACAAGAAACTAATAAAGTAACTAATAAAATTAAAATAAAGCTAATAATAAAAAAGAAAGAAAAGATAAGAAACACACTTGAAAGCTGTTTTAGGAATATTGTTTGTGATATAATAATAATAATAATAATAATAATAATAATAATAAGCAGAAGAACAATAATAACGTAGAGTTGGTAATAATAATAATAATAATAATAATAACAGTAATAATAAAGTATAGATAATAATAATAATAATAATAATAATAATAATAATAATAAGAGCTGCCGTGTTAAATGAAGGGGACGCTTGTCCATGGTGGTCTGGCGCTAGTGAGGAGGGAACTGAGTCTCTAAGTCTTCTTGTTCTGAAGAATAATCGTGGCCAGACTTCCTGTGCTGTGTATCAGCAGTGCAGTGAGGAGCTCGTGCTGAGCGCTCTGATTTCTGTCCTCCACTTCCATTCATTATTGATTTGTGCTGGGACTGGTAAACAGGTATTGAGAGGAAGCCCATGATTTCACGCCCTATCACAAACATCTGAAGAGATGAGGCGCATTCCTGTCATCTTATCTGTCTGAATAATGAATCTTCGTTTCTGCAGTAAACACTCTTTGTTACTCCTGCCACATGAATAGGTAAACACAGCAGCTCTGCAGGCCTGCTCTCTCAATCAGAGGGACTCAGGGTGGCGTTATGAGCCGATTCAGTCTCATAGTTCCTGTCTAGTGCTCCGGGTGTTTTTGCTGTAGCTAAAATTACCCCTCTCCCAGTTTTCACAGGTTTTAGTGTACAAACACGAGCGGCCACAGGAAGCTCGCGCGCCGTGGCGGGAAGGGCCCGCTTGATTATCCTAATTAAGTTCTGTCTAATTAAATTACCGTCACGCGCTAACCAATAGCAAGAGCGCCTTCATTAACCATGCACGAGCCCTGCTTGAGCACGAGAGGCGCCGTCAACCGGCTGATTTAGCTTTCTCTCTCTCTCTTTCTCACTTTCTCTCTCTCTATCTTTCTGCCTACCTCTCTCTCTCTCTCGTGCGCGCGCAAAAAGCAACTAGCTCAAAGCTCGCGCGCGCGCACGCGCGTCTTAATTGCAATTGCCATTTGTGTGTGTGTGTGTTGTTTTCATTTTTTTTTTGAAAAATTATTTTATTGTTCACGTTTCTCGAGCCATGCAGCTCGAGCAGTGCCTCTCGCCGGCGCTCGCGCTTTCCGACAAGTGCGCGCACGTGGGCAGCGGCGGCCGCGCGAGCTCGCGAGGGTCCGATCTCGCGCATGCCATGATTACGCGCGCCGGCGACGGCGGCGACCTGGAGAGAAGGAGTTCACCTGTGAAAAAAAACTGCAGCGGGATGACGAATGAGTCCGAGGCGGACGCCTTCGCGGACTCTAAGGGCCCGGCGGGGGCCGCCCAGAGCGCCAAACTCTCTCCTGCCCTCGACGGCGCGCCCGACATTCGCCACACCTTCGATGGCTGCGCGGCAGAGCGCTGCCTCGCGCCTCCTCCGTCCAGCCACGCGCCACCGCCGCCGCCACCACCACCACCGCCGCCGCTCTCCGCGAGCCCCACGCCCATGTTCCCGTACGCGAGCCAGCACGGCGCGGCGCACGCCGCCTTCTCCATCGCCAGCCCGAGCCGCTACATGGCGCACCACCCGGTGATCGCCAACGGCGCCTACAACGGCCTGCTGAGCGGCGCGTCCCCGCAGGGCTACGCGGGCGCCGGCTACCCGTACGCGCAGCAGTACGGCCACGCGTACCAGGGCGCGCACTTCTACCAGTTCCCGTCCGCTCAGGCGGGTCTGGTCCCGGGCAAGGCGCAGGTGTACCTGTGCAACCGCGCGCTCTGGCTCAAGTTCCACCGACACCAGACCGAGATGATCATCACCAAGCAGGGCCGGTACGTATAGCAGCACCTTCACGAGGCTTTACTGGAGGAACAAGCGCGTCTGGATTACGTCCTAAATCGCCTTTTTCATCTTCTGCTCCTGCTTCTTCGACCTTTTTTTGAATTACATCCTAAATATTTATATATTTTCCAATTTAACTTTTGTGTTCTGTTGAAGATGAACATGCATTTTTCCTTCCATCTAAAATACTCAATTCTATTACATCCAAAATACTTTTTATTACACTGTTATTACATTTTCGTTTCAAATAATGATTCCGAAACCCTTTTGCCTTAAGTATACATTTTTGGGTGCATTTTTCTTCCACAGTGCCCAAATAACAAACCAAATAACATTTTGATCACATTTAATACATCCGCTCTGGATTACACTGAGAATACTGGATTCTTTTATGGGTATTTTCGCTGAACATGAGCGATTTTTTTAAAGAGTGTTTTAAACGGATTTATGTTTTTGGGATCGAAGTAAACATCTATTACTGAATTGGAAGTACCTCTCGTGCTTTGGGCAACGGCATTTTTTTATAATTATTTTTTTGCACAACCTTTAAAGAATTTTCGTTCATTTTGTTTCGGGTTGTTATATAAAATCATTTAATATAATGTATAAGTATTTGTGTAAGCTGTATTTAGGAGCTACACGGCTATTTATTTAATGCGTGAATTGTCTTCAGCGAGCGTTTTATTCTCACAATTGTCTGTGCAAAACAACAAACACCGAACTGACTTTCAATTCATTTTTTTACTCTTTTTATTTCACTTTTTTTTTAAGTTCAGAGACGCGTGGATCTATTTTCACTGGTTAAGCTCAGTTCTTATGTAGCTAAATGTGAAGAGAGCAGCGAGCAGTATTGAATAGCTGTAGTGTTTAGTGTGTCTAACCCGTGTTCTGCTCTGTTTCCAGGCGGATGTTTCCTTTTCTGAGCTTTAACATATCAGGTCTGGACCCGACTGCCCACTACAATATTTTTGTGGATGTGATCCTGGCTGACCCGAACCACTGGCGCTTTCAGGGGGGGAAATGGGTCCCGTGCGGCAAAGCGGACACCAATGTGACAGGTAATCAATAATAATAATAATAATAATAATAATAATAATAATGTGTATTTGTAAACATAAAAACAAAGATGAATATGGAGACAAATGAAGGAATTAAAAAACAGGTTTAGTATTGAATAAGAAATGATACTAAGATAAAGAACTATAAGCAGAGAGCTGTACAATACAGAGAAAACAACGCTGTTTATTTATTTATTTGTTGATTTATTTTTGCTTCTTAATAAAGAAATAAACACTATGGACGGTTTGTTGAACAAAGACTGAAACTAATTTCTAAGTTTTTCTTCTTCTTCTTATTATTATTATTACAATTATTATTGTTATTATTATTATTATTATATTTGCTCATACGCACTGATATTTCTAATATCATTAAATCTTATATGTAATTTTTCTTTTGCTTCTCACGCTCGTCAGTGCATAAACACCAAACTGCCTTTTAATTCATTTTTTCCACTCTTTTCGTTTCACTTCACGCGCGTGCACAGAGACTCAGCGCATCTCTGTTTCTAATGTTTATTGATTCGTTTTATTCGTGTGCGCGAGCTCGGAGAGGTGCGTGCACGCGGAGTCAGTGCTGATGTATTTATAAAATAAGAGAGTGGAGACGTACACAGACTGACATATATATGTCTTATAATGTCATATGTTTTCTCATGAACAGTGTACATGGACACAGACCCACGTGTTTCCACACTTACATGACCTTGTACGCACAAATGTGTATATATGTTCTGTTTGTAGGGGATCAGGGTGTAGATGACTCAGTGCTGATGTAGCTGTTTTATTGTATTTGTAGGGAACAGAGTGTACATGCACCCGGACTCTCCCAACACTGGAGCGCACTGGATGCGGCAGGAGATTTCATTCGGAAAACTCAAACTAACCAACAACAAGGGAGCGACCAACAACACGGGACAGGTAAGCAGATCAGCCCGAGGAGAACTGTGAGAGGAACCATTTCAGCGTCCATTCACACAAACAAAGACACAAATAAAGAAAACAAAACAAACAAAAACCCCACTGCGTTTACCAGCAGTAATCCTATACTGAAAAAAACGATGCTTTGAATTGACATCATTAAAACGTGTCAGGTAGTTGCACTTTTATTACATGAACACAATAACTGCCAAAAATAAGTCCATTTGAAGAAAGCAGTTGTGTTGATGTAACATTTTCTCTGTGTGCGACCACTTCACACATAATCACCAACCATTTTGACCATATCTAAGGTGTCACGTCTTTTGGTCTGTATGTTCTCTGAGCTTAACTGAGCTAAAAGTGACATTTTGTCACTTAATTTATGCAAAGAATACAGTTTTGTGGGCCATATGTGACTGGTTTTTAACAGAACATGGAAAATCCAAGTTTAATTGTGATTAAAAGGATGGAGATCACATAAAATCTAAAAAAAAAAAATGTGTACTCATAGATGTTGATCCAAAGTAGAACTACACAAACTTTTTTGCACCACTTCAGAGAATTCAAAACACAATTTTGCGGCGTTTCTCCTTATTAATCTAATATTAAAATAAAATAAAAGGAAGAAAAAGCAAAAACAAAACAAAAAAAAAAAAAACAAAATCTGCTAATAAAATAACCTCCCACTAAAAAATATTCCTCTGCCATGTTTTGACTGAAAAAAGAAATGTAACCTTGAATTAAAAGCCTGTGTTTTGCCTGCATTATTATAAACAACACTGGTGAATCTAAAAGTGAGTATAAAGGAAGTTTTTATTTATTTTTGTATTTATTTATTGCATTTTTTTTACTATTTTTATCTTGTTCAGATGCAAACTATCTATGCTAGACACATGATGCTTTGGCATTGCAGTGTGCTGTTAGTTAGAGTGCTATGTTGTTGGTGCGCGTGCCTGCAGATGGTGGTGCTGCAGTCTCTGCATAAGTACCAGCCCAGACTGCACGTGGTGCAGGTGAACGAAGACGGAACCGAGGACACGAGCCAACCGGGCCGCGTGCAAACCTTCACCTTCCCGGAGACCCAGTTCATCGCGGTCACGGCCTACCAGAACACAGATGTAAGATCCGCAGATGAGTGCAGTGCTGCAGTTTAACATTTAGCAGATCATTAACAGAGCGCGCGCCAAAGAGTGGAGCTCTCATCACTCTCCATCTTCCCTTCTTCACAGATCACACAGCTGAAAATCGACCATAATCCGTTTGCTAAAGGATTCCGGGACAACTACGACACGTAAGACTGGACTGTTTTATTATTAGCTTTTTTTATTTTGGTGTGTTAAGTTTAATCGCTTCACTCGGTTCCTCTTAATTCCAGACACTTCAGTATTTGTTCCATCGCTTATGAAGCTGAATGTAGCTTCTCTTTAGCCATTTCTGCAGAGCTGTGAGCGCCAGCAGATCGCCAGCTGGTTTCTGAGAATAATGCGAGAATAATGAAGCTGCTTCTCACTGATAGAGTCTCCATTCCTCTCCACTCCTCAGTCAGAGCTGTGTGTGGAGATGGAGCTGTTCAGCTTTGGTAGAAAAATGTTAATTTACCTTAAAACAAATCCAACAGGTGTCAGAAATCTTACACATCTTTTTTACACAAACATCTTTTTGTCCGTTTCATCCGTTGTGTTGATAAAACACACGGGCGCAGTTATTTGCGCCATTCCACCCAGTGTGTAGCCGTGGATTCGTGTTTTATCTCAATCTATTTTCATTCTATTTCCCAGTTAAATGTAAAAACATTGTTACGCTATTAGGCCTATTTAGCCTACTACATTTCCCAATTTCCCAGTTATCAGAATAAACTGTGTTTAAAGAGCTCCATGTCTGATGGTCTAGAATACCTGAATCCACGTCCATATATAAAACACGCTTTAACTAATCAATGTAATATTACATATAATGCAAGAATAAAAATCACGAAAATAATTTAGACAGATGCATTCCGCGCGCGCAGCTTGTCTGCTATTCTTAAAGCCAGTTGGCTCAGTGCTCTGCCCCGTCCCGCCTTCACATGTGTGCGGAATGACATCAAGTTAACCTCCCCGACGTTTCTTCATTTTCAATAATAATAATAATAATAATAATAATAATAATAATAGCCTTGATTATTTTCTTTCCTATGCCAGTCTCTTCATGTCCACTCTCCATCTCTCTCCCTCTCTGTCTCTCTCCCGACCTCCTCCTCCTTTCTTCCTCCAGTGTCTACACAGGTTGCGACATCGACCGGTTAACGCCGTCCCCGGGCGCGTCCCCGCGCTCGCAGCTCGTGCCCGGCGCCAGATACGCGGTGACGGGCTCCTTCCTGCAGGAGCAGTTCGTGGGCTCGTACGCGGCGGCCAAGTCGCGCTTCCACGCGGGCGCGGGCGGCGCTGCTGGCGCGGATCGCGGCGTGCCGCTCGCCAACAGCCTGCTGTCGCCGCAGCCAAGCGACGAAGCCGCGGTGGGTTCCCCGCAGCGCTGGTTCGTCGCCCCGGCCAACAACCACCGCCTGGACTTCGCCGCCGCCTCGGCGTACGACGCCGCGGCCGCCGCCGCCGCCGCTGATCTGGCCGGCAACGCGGCCACGCTGCTGTCGTACGCGGCCGCCGGGGTCAAGCCTCTCCCGCTGGGCGCCGCGGCAGGCTGCTCCAACCGCGCGCTCGGCTACTACGGCGAGGCGCCGGCGTGGGGCGCGCGCACCCCGCCCCAGTACTGCGGCGGCGGCACGGCCGGCATGGGCGCCACGTCCGTGGGCTCCACGGCGGGCACCGCCGCCAAGCCGGGCTCCGTGCTGTCGTGCTGGGGCAGAGCCGGCGCCTCCGGATACCTGCTCGGGCCCGACGACAGCGACGGCGCGACGGCGCCCGACAGGTCCCCGCTGGGCGCTACGGACGAGGCCAGCAAGGCCAAGGAGCTGTCCGAGGCCGCGTGGATCGAGCCGCCCTCCTCCATCAAGTCCATCGACTCAAGCGACTCGGGCATCTTCGAGCAGGCCAAGCGCAGGAGGATGTCACCTTCGGCCACGCCGCTGTCCGAGACGTCGTCGCCGTTAAAGGCCGAGATCCTGGCGCCCAGGGAGTGCGAGAAAACTTGCCCCAAGGACATGGGCTACTACAGCTTCTACCCCCACACCTAGGGCCCCTCTCCGAGGAGCCCCGCCAATATTTACCCATCTACTCACATTTTAACCTAGGCTCCTTATTTATTCTGTTTATTTACGTGTCTACCGTTTATATATCTAGTTTTACCAACCTGTCCTTACTGTTCCCTGTAGTCATAAGGCTCGCGCTCTTTTTAAATCCTTATAAAAGGTTTATAAAAAAAGACCTCGTTGGCGTTTGAGAGATGACCATGTAACTAAATAATGTACATACTTATCTAGACATCTCATTAACTGTTGATGTACAGCATGGAAAAGGACAGAATGACTAGTCGTTGTGCTCTTAGAGTAAGTTTCACGAGGAGCCGTAATGTTAGAGGAGAAGTTGGTGAGGCCCAGCGTGGTTTTTAATCCCACACAGGACTGTACTGCGGGCCAGACCACCAAACTTTGGCTAGTGAGTGGAGTAGAGAGCAAACGGACCATTGCTCAGTATTGCTGTTGCTTTGTAGCCTCGCCATGTCTCTTTGGGAAATCTATTAGTCTGTAGTTTCATTGTTGCTCTTAACGTTCATCATTTTGTAGGCTGTACTTTGTTGTAACGCTGTTGGTAGGCCATTCATCAGTAAAAAAGAAAGATAAAAAGGCTAAATAACTCTAAAGATTGAAGGCCTTGGTGTTCTGAGGCCAGCATTCACTGGTTTGTACAGGGCAGGCATCATTTCCCATACACCCCTCCACTGTGTTACCATCAATGACGTTTTTTGTGATTTAATGGGCGTTTTGTTCCATATACCAGCATCAAGTCCATTAGGCCTGCTGAAAAGCTGATGTAATTGTGGTGTGCTTCTTTGCAATAAATATAAAGAGAGTATGAACCTCTTGACAAAATAACCTGCACGAGACTTCAAATCAAGGTTGCCCATGTGTTCGAATCAACTGTAGGTCATATATTTTAACAGTTCGTCCAGGTTGACATCAGTATGTTGTCCATCCTGCGACATATCTGGTCAACCACAGTTTTGTTAACACTTCAGTGTAACGTTTTTCCATGTAGGTATTCAGTATTAGGATTTGTAACAAACTGTGTCACGTATGTTACAGATAAGGCAGGCAGACTGAGGCCTGTTGGAGGCCTGCAGTTTCACCTGCACTGATGCTGGATAATCTGCAGAATTGAACTTTTGAGTTTTCTTCATTTTCCTCTGTGATTAATTCATACATCTATATAGCAGCTCTGCTGTGCCTCTGTGGGCCTATTAAGGACGTGTAAGTCTCACCAATGTCACAGCCACACTCGAGAAGATGGAGCAAAAGGAAGCGCATTTCATTTCAGTGGGCCTGGTGTACAGTAATGATTTTGCTCAGGTCGTTTTATAACCTCTTTTGAGAAGTTCATCTGAATAGATTCATTAAATAATTAGCCTAGAGATAAATTCATCGAGTGAACAACAATATAACAACAGACTACAGTTCTTGGCAAACCTGTAGGCAACAACAACATTTTCGAAGTAGTTCGGTCTGTCCGTCATTAATGTAGCCTGTCAGGGCAGAAGTGGTGCTGTAAACATAGCATAGTCTGATCGGAATTAAACTCTGTGGGGCTACATGCGTTGGTTATACTAGCAGTCAGACGTGCCTTGGTTTTCGTGTTGTGGTAATCAAATGTGTCCAGTTATTACTGCGGACACCCCTTGTGAAAGCATGCTGTGTAGTGGAGAGGCTTTACGATGCTGCCACCCTGTGGCAGAAAACTGTGGTGCCTTAATGGAGTGAACTCGCTTTAGCAAAACCTCCACTGAAAATTCGCTTCACAGTGATAATAAGGCTAGTTAGTGATATTTTGAAGAAGAGTTTCAGAGACTGGCGTCTACCTGAAGACGTTTTCATCGCGCTCTTCTGAGGAACGTTAATAAGAATCCAACCTCGATTACTTGAGCTTTACATCGTAGCCACCAGAGGGCGACAGCATCGTTTTTTTGAGAACAAGAGCTCCAGATGTAGCCTGCTGAGCTCCACACGTAGCCCATTGTCTCAAAGGTTAAGACTGGAGTCTGCTATAGTGTCCACTCTTTAGCCTAATGTCCTAATGCTGAATACAAGGCTTTAGTTTGGCCAGCATTTTCAGTGATCCAGTAGTGCACCTAACTGCATATCATCACTGTCCAAAGGGAAACGTGTATCTCCAAAATAGTAACTTTGCAAGATAAGGTAAAATCGTGTTTAACTTTTAATGCAAGTCAAAGTAAAGAGGTTTTATTCCAAATGATAGAGCAGAAATTTTCACACAATGTAAAGAATGGCTGCTGATGCAGAAATAAAAATCAACACAAATGGAGATACGTTTTAACAGGGATGATATATGTAAACATATCTCCATCTCTGTTCAAGAAACTATAGCAAAAAATAGCTCAACCTGGCCCCTGAGACATTAGATGGAACAAATAGTGAACAAAAATATATTTCAGCCCTTACACTTATTATTTTATCTGAAATGCATTGTATCTGAAATGTATTGCATCTGAAATTGAATCAGTTGAATTGGACTTGATGATTATGGTTTTCTCTGACCACTGAAAAGTCTCCTTATTACACCAATACTGTCAGATCTTCAGCACTGTGTTGGCCTGACATTGGTTGAGATTTTCATTAAACATTGAATAAAAGTGATGGAAATAGGCCAGGGGAGTAGCTAGGGGTACTACTTCACCAATCTGAGACATCTCCTGCAGAGTGAGCTAAATGTTTTTCCTCAAAAACATATTTTTTTCAGAGATTATTTACAAAATTATTTGGATTTTTTTGACCTTTGATAAGGGTACAAAAAAGACCTCCCATAAGCTTCCACAGGGTGCAGACGGACATCTAATTTTGTGTTCAAAATGATCTTGTACAGTTGCACGCACAACAACGGTTCATCACATCCTCGGTTTATTGTGTGAATTATAAAAGAGTTTTTAATGTTTTCATTAAAAGAGCACAATTTACTTATCCTAATAGCCACTGTTCTGGCTGTACTAGCTTCAGTTAGTTGTGTTCCTACACTGGAGAGGGAGGAAAGTGGAAATCAATGATGCATATGAAATGCATCCCACAACATTTGAATGAACAGTTAAATAGTCCCAGATGTGTAATAAGCTCACGTGTTCTTTACTTTATCAGGTTTTTATTGTAAAATAAAAATAACAGCACAACTGTAGCAAAACAGTGCACTTGTTTATTAGTTTTATATTAGAGTTTCTGAAAGCAGCTTTGTTGTGTTGTATGCCCAGTGGAAGCTTGTGGGTGGGTTAAGGGTTACTTTTGTCTCATATCTTATTTTAGAAGCAAACACACACAAAACCTTTTAAAGACTCTGAAACTATTTATTGATTGACTGATTGATTGGAGAAAAAAAAAGACTTTTGCCCTGCTCTTACTTGATACTTATAGCAGATAAGCCCGTATATATTAGTGAGTCTTTCTTACAGGCCTACTGTATGAAATGAGAAAGTTAGAGAAGTTGTAGTGAATCGTCAGTCACAAAGGCAGACCTTTATTTTCACCCTTCACTCATTGCCGACACACAAAAGAGGCTGTAAGCTTTCTCTTTACAAACAGATGGCTGATGAAAACAGGCAGTTACAGTTGGGAGTTTTGCATGTAGTATTATCTTGTATGTTATAATGCATAAATCTTTGGATCTAGAAATTATTTTTTTTGTTTAAAGCCCCCAAATAGGTTGACTTTTATAACTAAATTAGGTGTACGTGTAAAATGCTTGATGTCAGCTTCTGTAATCTATGTACATGTAATTCATATAGCTCATGTCAATAAACCAAGTCTAAAGTGAAAGAAAATGGGAGGAAAATCAGTTTCAGAAAACTTTTTATTTGTATAGTTCACAGTAGATGGATCTTCTTCTGGATCAAGGTTCTTCAACTCTGGTCCTGGAGGGCTGATGCCCAGCACTAACTGCTGACTTGCTTGCTTAAACACACCTGATTCAAATCATCTGTTCATTTCCAGGTTTAGTGGGTGTGTTTGAGCAAAGAAATCACCAAACTGGTGATTTCAGTCCTGGTGGACACCAGCCCTCCAGGACTGAAACTGAGGAATAGCCTAGATGCTTCATTATTTTCCAACAGGCATTAATCTAAGTATTTATTAACAACCACCTTAAGAGTCCCTAACTGTAAAATGCTCTTAAAACTTAAAGCAATATTCCAGTGTTTTCCAATCTCTATCCTCTTAATTTGTATCACCATACAGGTGAATTACTGTGGACAATAATGTCACTATGCTGCTTAGGAAAGAACTGAAAACTCCTTCACTTGAAAGTTAATTATAATAGAACTCATTTGGCAGTTGCAAAATGTTTGAAATACATGCCAATAGGACAGGTATTTGAAACTACAACAATTACACTCTAACAATACACGTCTTACACTGTAAAAAGTAACAGGTATATTAACTAGTTTTATTTAACCTAAATAAATGCTTTGAATGAACGATTTTTTCAATCAATGTAATTTTTTGAGTTAAATGAAACTAGTTCAATTGCTTGTTATTACATGAAGGAATTTTTTTGGTTGACTCATCAAAGCTGTTCTTCCAATGTTTTATTCAACTTTTGAACACTAAAGCGATACAATAAAAGAGGAATTCCGGATATAATCATTTTCCTTACGGTCTCCATTCACACTACTATAGTGGTAACTATTACCACAAATTCCTCTATCTGGAAAACTAGTTTATATAGCTGAATGAAGGATTAATCAAAGCACTATGTAAAAGTTGTAGGCACCTAGGAAAATTACATTTAAAAAGCTATTTATCTGGGCATTAAGTGTTTATTTGCCCAATCCACTAATATTAGAATTATTAATAATACAAGTATTGATTTTAAGTCTGTCAGAGTGTTTGTTTAAACCACTTCCAAACTTCTCCCCATGGCAGCCCTGTATTATTTGTAGTCATCATCCAATACCTGGTTTGGCTAATCAGTCCTTCGTTAAGTTAAATCAGATGTGCTGGTGGTAGACATTAGGGAGAAATGTGGGACTAAACTTGTGTTCTTCCAAACAGCTCATATCAATCACTGTAATATGGTGCTGTTGTTTTTACAGTTACGACAGAGATAAATGGTTTTAAACTATTTGCTTAGGTGCCCAAGACTTTTGCACTGTACTGTATGTGCTCCACCTAAACATCTACTACTGGAATTCTGCAACTGCACAGTGGCTTCTATTATGTTTTGAGTCAACAGGTTTTCTGTTGTTTTCTAAATATGAAATTATTGTCTGTAGTAACTGACTGCATACTACAGATGTGCTAGATAGCGATTAAGTTGAAATATGCTTGTGTGTTCCTTTAAAGTGAGTTATAATCCTACCTTAACTTCAGTTCAGCTCTTAACCTTGACTGAGTTTTCCTGGATGTTGTATAAAGCAGTTCTTGTGGACCATCTATATGCACTATCCCACCTCCTTTCTGAGATACATTTCAAGGTATCAAAACAAATATGGCATAAATCTCTGCTTTTACATTCAATTTGCTATGAGACATGTGAGAAACATCTACACCAACAGCCTGAATAAAAGTTGAAGAAAGCTGGGACCTCACATGTAGCCTGCAGTTTCAGCCATGCAGAGGACCTGTCAGAACAGACGCAACAGTGCAAGCTCGCTATAGACTTCAGAGTGGTGTTGTCCTAATGCTGAACATAGGGATGTAGGGTGGGCACAATGTTTTAGTGGTCCTTGTGTAATACAGAACTGGTTATGTTAGCTCTATTCTCATAACAGAGCAGGGGTAAACTTTTCATCCTTTTTGGTTTTATAACATTACACTATATTTTATCACTGACATTTGCTTACTGAGCGCTTTATTCGTTGTTTCTACACTCATTGTCCAGTT